AGTGGGCCGGGCGGGCCACGCTCACCGCATTCGTGTTAGAAGGCTGGCATCACAGCGGCCTGGCCCCAGCTCAAGCCAGCCCTGAGGTCAGCAGCCCTAGCATCTGCATGCCGCCGATCCCAGGAAGGGCTGCGTCTCCCTCTGCACTACAGAGCCCCTTCCCGTGCTACTACCTCCATGCCATCCCCTGCCGGCCTCGCTGCCAAAGGACAGCTGTGCCCAACACCGACATTTCAGAAGAAGCTCTTTATGGCAGAAAACACCACGATGACGCAAGCTCAGGAGGTCTGGGCCTGGCTGTGAGCAAGTCCCACTCTCCGTGAGGGTCTGATACGCGTTGGGGTTGCAGGAGGCACAGGGAGGGGGGTGGGGGCCTGAGGGGAGGGGAGGGCAGAACCTGAGGGCCTGGCCAGGCCTGGGGACCAGCTGCCCGGCTTGGCCTCCAGCCCTGGCCCGGGAGCTTCTGCTTCTCCTGGGCTACTTCTCCTTGCCGCTTGCCTGGCTGACCACCCCCCGCCCTCAGGTCCCAGCTTGACTGTCATTTCCTCAGTGCAGACCCTCTCCAGTGTCCAGCTCCCCTCCCTCAGAGTGTCCTGGGCTGCCCTCAACAGCTCTGGTGGGTGGCAGCTGGCAAGTGTCGATTCCCAGACGTGTTGACTTGCTTCGTGACTCCCGCAGTCGCCGCCTTGGACGGGTCCACCCGTCTGCCCTCTTCTCCTGCCCCGCTCCAGCGGCTCTCCCTGGCTCCACCCCACCCTCAGCGTGTTCCCCGGAGGGCTCCTGTCCTGGTGTCACCAGCTTCACATGCCACAGAGAAGGCCTCTCTCATGCAACTCTGTCTCTCCACCTCGGTCCCCACCACTCCCTCGGCCTCTGTGCCAGCCTCGCCAGCCTGCCTCCTCCTCCTCTGCTCAGTCGCCTTCCGCGGTGATCTTTTGCCAGACGCTCACTCGCTCCTGCCCTCCTTCCCCTTGCATCCCCTTCCTCGTGCCCCCCCACTCGTCACCACCTGACTGCCAGTCAGGGGCTTGCTGTTCTGCTCATCCTCAAAGTCCAGCTCAAGCACCCCTCCTCAGTCTTTCTGGAATTTCCAACCTGTGGCCAGCAATGTCTGTGTCCCCCCTTATCCCCTGAGCTCTCAGAGCTGTACACCTGTGCACACCTGGAGCCTCCAAGGGTTCTATTCGGCCACACCTGCCGAGTGAGCCTGAGGTCCCTGCAAGCCACAGTCCCTTCCACCAACCGTACACAGGAAGTGTGTTCCAGACCGCCCCAGCCCCCCGCAGGTCCCCAGCCCAGCAACACTCCTGTGGCTGGCGCCCTCCCTCCCCTGCATCGCGTCCTGACTCCCCACCAGTACGTTTCGCAGCACCTTCAAGCGAACGTGTCCTCAAGACCCTGTGGCTGAGTCAGCTTCTGGGGAACCTAAATAAACACATGCCCCTCTTCTTGGAAGCACTGATCTACCTTCCTCACTGGACCGTGAGATCCTAGGAGAGAAGAACCAAGTCTCACTTGCACTTACCCCAGCACATCCTTACAACTCACTGCACCTCTCTCCCTCTTGCATTCACATGGGTGTTCATTCAGTGCTAGGACTGGACTGGATTTGCAGAGGCCAACTGTAGCCAGCTGTAGTTGGTCAGGTAACAAACTCCTACAGAACAGCAGCTGATGCTACCAGGTAGGTTGATACCAAGACTGCCCTGGGCTCTGCACACCCAGATGCTCAGGTGTCATCTGAAATCTTCCCGGCCATTCTGGTCTTGCTGGGCGGCCACCGATCAGTGTGTGAGGGCCTTAGGGAGGAGGTCCACACAGGGTGGCCTCCCCAGAGGCCACCTCAGACTGGCTGGTTAGGCCAGCATCCTGAACCCAGGCCCTAGGAAGAGCTTCGCTGGAGGGGTGTTCCTCCCCTGAGAAGCCCTGCTTGCCCAAGACCCAGACGAGGTCCCTGGCTGAAAACACTGAGGAGCCCCTGAGCCAACCGGTCCTCCCTCCGAGCTATTCAGTGGGTTGTCCGGCAACGGGTCTCCCAGCGGGATGAAAAGACCGGCCCTTCCTGGCTTGACTCTCACTGACAACTCTGGTGGTCATGCATCTAATTCAGACTTCACCAGGAGTGCACATACAATCAATGTATGTCTAGGCATAAAAGCGGAAGCCAATAGCCTAGCTGCAGAGATGCCAGAAAACTCAAGGAGGTGTAAGAATAACAGAGCAAACATGGCCCAGCATAGCCAGACACCCTGCTGGGCCCGTGAGCAAGCGGGAATGCCAGCTGCAGAGGCTGAAAGGCAGAACGCTCCCTGAAGACCGAGGCCCAGGGGAGAGCCTGGCCAGCTGCCGCCCAAAGCAGATGCCAGCCCTTGGCAACGCTCCTGCGGACACGCCCCCCCCGGCCGAGCCCCGCCTCCCGGCTT